TTATATATAATTCCCAATAGATGTTTGACTAATCTGAGTTTGTGTTTTTGGCCATGTCATATAATATATAATTTTTAATTTTTAAATTTTAAATTCTCCAAAATTATAATTTTTAATTTCAAATTATAATTTAAAATTTTTTAAAATATTAAATTTGTTTCATAAATTTATATTTAGTAAAATAAAAAAAATTATAATTTTAACTTGAACCTCAAATTAATCTGATATCAAATCATAAATTTTTGTATTACATATCCAAACACACTTAATAATATTGATATTAACAAAACACACATTAGTACACAATAATGTACATAGGTACTAATGCAAACGTTAATTATACATAAATGAAAAATATGTATATCAAATAACATATTACTAATACACAAAATTAATACATTTATTATTTTTATCAATACACGTTATACCACCCTTGAGTGTATTATTAGAACAAGCATTATCATTATTGTCATACATGGAGTAAAAAATATAGAATCAAACAATATATTAAGGGGTTATTTGGTACAAAGATTAATAATGCAGGAATTAGTAACGTTGAGATTAGTAATGCAGGGATTAATAGTGCAGGGATTAGTAATGCAAGGATTATTTTTACCAAGTGTTTGGTTCATTGTTTTCCACCTCATCTTGTGTTCGGATTAAAACTTTATTAAAAAAACTTCTTTTCAATTATACCCTTGAATTATTATGCAATTGGGTTAAGGTAAACAATTTTCGGACAAAGATTTATTTATGGCCTTCTAACTAGTTATGAAAAGAACTTTTTTATTGTCATGTTTGCCTTTTTATACTTAAATTATTTGAGGATAAATAATTGTCATCTTAGCAAATTAACTCCTTACAAATGTAAATTTTCAATTTAAAAAAAAGAAGAAGATAAACTATCAACTTTTAGAATTAAAAAGACGATAAACAATAGTAAAATTAAATAAATCATCTACATTTTCGCAAAAAATTGCAAATTGTAATTTTAATATGTATTCAATTTTAAAAATTGTTCAAAATACGATAGAAAACCACACAAATATTTTTATTATTTTGTTTATTTTCTTGATTTTATGTTTTATGATTTTGCTAGTAAATTTATTTAAATAAATTAGCTTACAAATTATTTAGAGAGAGTTGTTTCTTACAAATTATTCTCTCTAAATAACTTGTAAACTAATTTATTTAAATAAATTAGCACAATCATAAGACATAAAATCAAGAAAACAGATAAAATATTAAAATGTTTTGAGAGATATTTCTGTCTTTAATAGACTTATCCCATGGTATTGTATCCCATGTATTGCTAATATCTCCAAATAGAAAGTATTAGTAATACATCATATAATACCATGTAGGATGTATAACTAATACATAGACTCAATTTCCAACCAAACATAGTACTAAATAATATCATCTATAATACATGAACTATTTATTTTAATTAGGTCTACCAAACGATCCCTAATAATATACAAAATAATATAGGGAAAAAGGTCAAATATATTCCCAAACTTTAAAAAATGGTACGTATATATCTTTCGTTATACTTTTGAGTCAAAAATATTTTTACCGTCATAATTTTAGATCACATATACCCTTTGGTTAAACAAAAAGACACGTGGCATGATCTCAAATATTTATGCTATTTTATTTTATTTTTTATCCAAAATTTAGTCTCTCTCTTCTCTTTCTCTCTACATTTCATTTGTATCCAAAATTTAATCTCTCCATTCCTCTCTATCACCAGCGGCACCAGAAACGCCGCTATACCGCCGGAAAATTCTAAGGGAAGAAAAATAAATAATCTGTTAGGGCTCGTATCTATTTCTTAGCCAAAGATCGAACTTTGGTTTATTTGTTTTTCTAATGTGGTTGAGATATAGGGTTTATGGTGCTATTCCGGAAAACACTTTCTGGAAGCTCTAATTGCTCAAGTTTTGATTATGTATGTGAAGGATTAAATTATGTCTTCTATTCTCCTGGCGCTTAGATTTGAGTAGTTTGATCCGCTCACTTTTCTTATTTTTGAATTGTGGGTGTTGTTTTTCTCAATCATATTTTGGTTTACAAAGCTTGAAATTGCAGATCTGCAGAGCTTGAAATTGCAGACTTTCACCATTGATCTGAGATTTATGGGAGGGGAGTGATGAAAATCTAGAGAGCTTGAAAATAAATCGATTTTTGAATTATTGACATCAAAATTTGAGAAGGATCTTGCCAATAATGATTAATTAGAAATGGGTGTTGATCAGGCTATGGAGAGAGTGTTGGATCGTGTTGAAATTAGATGTATTGATAATGGAGATCAATAGAATCAGCCAAGTGAATGAATTAAAAAATAAATAAAAATTGGATTAAAAATTAAATAACTTTTGGAATAAAAAAATATTTTTTGGTTAAAAAATTGAATAAAATAAGACAAATATTTTAGATCATGCCACGTATTTTTCCATTTAACCAAAGAATATGTATGATCCAAAAATATAACAAAAACATATATATGTATCAGTTTTAAAAGTTTGAAAATATATTTGACCTTTTTACCAATAATATATGCATTATTTTAAAGACTTTACCAAACGTCTCTCAGATTTCAGGGTACTTTAATTGTCAAGTGCAACCCCCACTGCATGATACTTTATTGTTTTTAGACAAAAGTTTGTTACTTTTTTCCTTTCAAAAATATTATTTCTATTTCTTTTTTAATTTGTGTAAAAAAAATAATTATTTTTTTATAACACTTTAACTTTTTATGTAACGTGTTTAAGATAACAAGACTAAAGGACATTTTGATACATTTAATACAATTTTAATTTAAAAATACAAAATTAAAAAATCTTTCTTTCTGTTTTTAAACTCCGTTTCAAATCAAACTAAATCATTCTTTTTTTAATTTAGCATGACACTTCAAATTTAATATGATAATCTTTCAAATGATATATATAAATATTAATACAAACATTAATTATACATAATATAAAAAACATATGTACCAAATAAGATACTAAAAGTACATAAAATTAATAAATCTACTATTTTTACCGATACACGTTATACCACCCTTGAGTGTATTATTAGGACAAGCATTATCATTATTATTGTCATAAGTGGAGTAAAAAATATAGAATCAAACAATATATTAATAGTATACAAAATAATATATGCATTATTTTAAAAACCTTACCAAACGTCTCTCAGATTTCAGGGTACTTCAATTGTCAAGTGCAACCCCCACTGCATGATACTTTATTGTTTTTAGACAAAAGTTTTTACTCCTTCGTTTTAAAAATTCTTTTTTAATTTGTATTTTATAAAATATTTCTTTCTTATAATATGTTAATTTTAATTTTTCATATGACATATTTAAGACCATAAAATTAAAAAATATTTTAATATACTTTTAAATTAAAAACACAAAATTAATTTTTTTTTTAACTCTATTTCAAATTAAGCTAAGTAATTCTTTTTTCTAAAAAAAATAAGAGAAAGTAACTAGCATGAAACTTTGGAATTTAATATGAGAATCTTTTGTATTTTTTTTTTCGTCTTTCAAATATTCCCCCACCACCCCCAACAAAGCAAAACTTTTATTACAAAAAGTATCAGAAGATGTGATTAACAAAGAATAGTATATTGGGTAGAAGATATTAACTCTGAATAATAAATTTGGTTAGTGATTTTTATAATAACTAGTCTTCGGAACGTGCGTTGCACGTTTATTTTAAACTATTTAATATAAATTTTGTACTACAATCAATAATTTGTAAATAGTACATATATAGTATTGTACATGTTCTACACCAATAATTTTATAAAGTCCAAATAAGTAACATCTATTTAATCATTTAAACATAAACTTCTTTATATAAATAGAGAACATATTTAACTTAAAATGAACAAGAAGAGAAACATTATAAAAGAACATTTAAAACAATTATGAAAATAACTTTCAAATGGCCATAGCTATAATCACTTTACATAAAATAGTACAAACATTCATTATTGTTATAATTCATATAACGTGATAAAAAAAATATTATTTTCTTTTAAACATTCCTTACAATTAATCATAATGTCTTCGATCCGAATACAACAATAATGTTATTGCCTTTAACAATTCTATAAAGATTGATGACAACTTTTTTTCAGCAGTCTATGATTATGATTAGAAAGGAAATTAAAAAGGAAGAAAGAGATGATATACCAAAAATGAGAAAATGGATCTTAATTTATAAGAGAGAACTGACATATTAATATACTTTAGTAAGAAGAGGGGAGATGAAAGGAAAAAAATAAAAGAGATCTATCAGTTTCCTAATTAATTTTGTAACCTTTAGTCTTCACCTTTAATTCATTGAACAATATCATTAGAAGTCTTTTTGTCTTCTTGATAATAATTGTATCTAACGATTTAATATTAATTAACCATCAACATAAATAAATTGTAACAGGAAGAATTTGATAAATTTGATATTGCTTAATATAATAATCCTCCGTTATAGTAATTAAAATTTAATATTTAATATTTAGTTAACAATTTATTAGACTATTAATATTTTTATATGATATAGGGACAAAATGTAATCTAATTTTTGCCAAATATTCCATCCACGTTTAGTATATTATTATTATTATTATATGATATGATGAAGATTACATTAAATATACATATAGATAATAAATGATAAATATTATTAAATTAGATATTTTAATTAGAAATTAATCAAAGGTAGTACAAAAGTTATTAATATTCTTATTATTAAAATGAGACAATTTAATATTTAAATTAACTAATTAAATGTTAAATAATTAATCAAATTTCAATTTAGTACAAGGTCAAAATGGTAATTCAACTTTTCACTTTAGAGCTTAACTATTATATAAGTATAGATTATAGATGATAAATATTAATAAATTAGATATTTAATAAGAAATTAATCTTAGGAAGTCTAAAAGTCATTAACATTTAATTAAATTTATAGAATCAAATATTTAAATAAAGGGTAAAACTGTAATTCAACTTTCAACTTTTTTGTTCATGGTTTTAGTAATATACGATGATTTATTGATATTAAAGTTAAGTAATCAAAATTAAGTGGAGATAATAATTTAGTACAATCATGAATAGATCAATAGTTATAGAGCTGCATTCTTGAGTAGTTCATTGATAAGTTTGCTGAAGGCCAAGTATGATGAACCACCCTCCGTTACGCTGGCTCTGCTCTTCTCTTTCATCATCTTTGCTTCATGTCTTACTGCGGAGTTAGTTTCCATCAATTTACTTATCCCATTTTCGATGGCTTCTGCTGTTACTATAGCTTGATCTTTATTCCTCTCGCAGTAATCCAAAGTAATCTCCACTGCTACTCCTATCTCTTTCACTAATTGAAACGCGTTAACCTGCTGTTCTGAGTGCAATGGCCATGTCGCTATAGGAACACCATACCATAAGCTTTCAAGTATCGAATTCCATCCACAGTGTGATACGAATCCCCCGATTGCTTCGTGAGACAACACTTTCAATTGTGGAACCCATCCTACCACTTTCCCTTTTTTCTCTGTTCTCTTTAGGAATCCTTCAGGCAAAATTTCTGAATAGCTCGTGTATTCTCCTGGAAATTGAGCGTTGTTGCTCTGAGGTGGACGACGTAAAGACCATAAGAAACGGCAACCAATGTTATCGAGAGCTATAGCGATCTGTTTCACTTGATCCGTTGGTAAACTCCCCTGGCTCCCAAAACAGAGTAGCACCACCGAATTAGGTGGCTGTTTGTCCAGCCAATTTGTTATTTCTGCCTCCTCTGACTCCGACTGTGATTTCGATTGGTTTAAAATTGGACCAATTGGATAGATGGATGGCAGGGGATGAGCTTGCTCAGATCTTGATAGGTTGTTGTTATTGTATGCATCCAAGGCGTATACTTCTAGTTCAGCAAAAGTGTTGATGATGATTCCTTTGGCTTTTCTATACCCACGAGCAAAATCGAGAAATCTCCCTAACCATGTGTCTCTATCGACTAGAACCATTGGCAATACGTTCGTAGGAACAGGGTATGCGTAGCTAGGAAATGATAACAGAGCAGTACCATCATCAGAGTTTTTGAAACTGGAAACATCTCTCGAACACTCATCTTCAAGAAACTGGAAATGAATCATCAACCCAAGAAAAGCAGCAGGGGAAGTGAAAAACACATAGCTCGGGATCCCAAACTCTTCAGCTACATCCATCAATGGAGTGCATAACATGTCTACAACAAATCCAGCAAGTTTAACACCGCCCCGTTGACTTATTAAAAATTCCCTGATTCGAGATTTTTGAGTTTGTACTAATCTGTTAACAAAGTGTCCTCGAGTTTTAGAGCTCCATTCCGGGGTTGGATCAACAGGTGGTAATTCAAAGAATCGAAGACGTTCAGAGGATGATGAATCAATTACAGAGTCGACAAAAGGGCCACTAACAGGGTCGATGTAATCAGGGAGTTTCATAATGAGGACAGTGATTGAGAGTTGATGATTTCGATTGATGAAAAGCTTGGCCAACTCCAACATCTGAGCAACATGGCCCATTGCCGGAGAAGGGATCAGAATCAATTCTGCTAATTTCTCCATAGGATCAAATTGTTTCTTTCAATTCAACTGCTAATGTACTTTCACTAAAATGGAAGAAAGATGTTTACAACAATACATAAAGTGCACATCCCCTCACATGACACTGCTATAAATAAAAATTTCAAAAGTGAACAGTCAAAAAAAATATCTTCCTAAATTATTGAATTTCGTTAGTTAATCTCTTTTTATTTAAAAATATTTTGTCACGTGGCATTTTATATGAAATAAATCATTCCATTTTTATCAAAATTAAAATAAATTATTAATATTAAATATAAATTAAAAATCGAAATATCACTGTCCCCAAAATAAGAAATTCACTTTTAAAATAAAATTCAAAAGATTTTTCTTACCTACTCCATCACCACCCCCACCCCCAAAGATTTTATATACATTTTCTTAGACTAATATACTTCTTACTTATGTACGGAATATATATAAAATGTTTATTTTTAAATGATCTTGCAGTGGAAACACTTTTAAAAAAAACATGTATATATCTAACACATAATTTAAAAAAAAAAAACGAGAGAGAGAATTAGGTGGGTGGGGTAAGTTGTTTTTTTAAAAAAAACATCTAAAAATTGAAAGGGTAGAACAGGGAAGGGGGGATGAAATAAGATTTTTTTAAAAAAAGTATTTTATAAAAAGATTAAAAATAAAAATATTTGGGGTGGTGGTGGGAAGGAATACTGTGGAGGAAGGTGATGGAGTGGATAAGAAAAATATATTAATTTTTATTTTTAAAAAAATGTTTTTATAAATAATAATATTTTAATCTTAACTTTTAATTAATACTAATAAGTTATTTAATCGTTATCAAGGTATAATTTTTTCAATTCAACTGTTAATTTCTCTTTCTCGCTACTCTTTTTGTATAAATATATTGTTACCACATTTTGCGGATGCTTTCTTATTTTTAGCAAAAACTCTTCCGTCAATTTTTTTCCTTTGCCCTTTTTTTTTAAAGGGCGAAATGATAATAATTATAAAGTCAACTTTATAAATAAATTTTTAAATTTGTTGAGTTTTTTCTTTAGGTATTTTAATACGTTATTTTTTTAATTAAATTATTAAATCACTCATAATTTATTTTTTAAATATTGTTGACTGATTTTGATCGGCTTTTCTATCGTATATGTCTTCAATTGTGTTCGTATTGTAATGATTTTGGTTGAAGGAATGAAAATAAATTTTGTGTTAGTCTCATTTGTTTTCTAGTGTGTAAAAATGACTTGAAGTAAAACACAATTATTCTCGAATAGTTTCACTATCAATTGGGCTAATGAGTTTTGGAACAACATATGTATCCTCTATCAATACTCCTCACAAAGTCGTATTTTACACAGCCAACGATGTTTAAAAGGAACAAATTATGGATGGTTCACTGATTTATATAGGAAAATAGCATAGTTAAAGTACTTGAAAGGAACCCAACAAACTTAAGAATCTATTTTATATTTGACCTAAATATAATATAAAAAATTAAAATTTATAGCACTTTTAAAATAATTCTTGAATATTTAAATTTTTTATTTAAAATATTAAATTAATATAAACTAATTTAACTTTAAAATTAATCCTTAATTATATAAATTTTAAAATTTACAGAGGAGGAAAGAGTATAAACCAATGCACTTTCACTAAAATGACAGTAAGGTGTTATTAAGATAATACGACAAAGAACTCATCCTCACACGACACTTCTATAAATAATAAAACAAGCTCTAATTTATCGGTAATTCTTAAAGTTAACATAATATTTTATTTAGATATTTTAGTTTTTAATTAAGTCGTGTTCATATTCAACACCTCATATTAAAATTTAATGTGTCATTTTAGAGTGATGTATCAAAAACACTTTTTTAGTTCAATACTTAGATGATTAAGAGTCCAATTTCATAGTCAAAATTGAAAATTATGCGGTTAAGCAAATTTTACTATTTAATTACTCATCACAGCTATGATTTGCTATAATTATTACTCGCGACTAATATTAATCAATAATTATGTGTTGATTCCGAGTTTGTATAATTAGCTACGTTTGTGTATGTATAATTCGCTAGAATATACAAATACATATGTATAATATACAATTATCTAACCGATATGGATGTACAATTCACCTCTCTCACTCTCCGTCCTCTCTCCTCACTCTCCCAATTCCACTCGCCTCTCTCCTCCTTCTTCAATTCACTTTCCATAAATACATATATATATATATATATACATATATATATATATATATGTATAATATAACATTATTATCTGACCAATATACATATACAATTCACTTCTCCCCCACTCTTTTCCCTATCTCGGTCACCTCTCTCTTCTCTCTCCAGCCTCGCTCGCCTCTTTTCTCCCTATAACATTTAGCTACGAATTATAATTATCAAATTTTAGTTATGGAGAGTAATTAGACTATTATCTCAACATGATTTGAAGTAGCGACAATAGACTGCTTCGTAGATCACCATGATATAGCAGTACCTCCGTATGTAAACAGATAGCCTGTTTGTGATCGAGCTTTATGTGGGTCAGATAAATAACCTGCATCTTCATGACCAACAAGATCTGCACTATCTTTGTTAGAATTAAACAGACCCATATCACTAGATCCCCTTAGATATCACAATATATGTTCAATTCCCTTAGAAATATATCTTGCTAATAAATTAACAGAATATGCTATGTTGGGTCTCGTAGCATTAGCAAGATACATAAGTGTCCCAATTGCACTGAGATAAGGTACTTCTGGACCAAGAGGCTCCTCATTCTCTTCTTGAGGTCGGAATGGATCCTTACTCACTTCAAGTGATCGGACAACCATTGGAGTACTTAATGGATGTGCTATGTCCATGTAAAATCGTTTCAAGATTTTCTCAGTATAGGCAGATTGATGGATGAAGACCCCGTCTACTAAATATTCTATTTGTAGGCCTAGACAAATTTTTGTCTTTCCAAGGTCTTTCATCTCAAATTCTTTCTTTAGATATTCAATTGCCTTTTGAACTTTTTGAGGAGTTCCAATGAGATTAATGTCATCAACATAAACAACAAGAATAACAAACCCCAATGTTGTTTTCTTAATAAATATACAAGGACAAATGGCATCGTTTATATAACCTTGTTTTGTCAAGTACTCACTGAGGCGATTATACCACATGCGCCCTGATTGTTTTAAGCCATATAATGACTTTTGTAATCTGATTGAATACATTTCCCGAGATTTTGAACTATATGCTTCGGGCATTTTAAGTCCTTCCGAAACTTTCATATAAATTTCATTATCAAGTGAACCGTAAAGGTAAGTTGTAACCACATCCATTAGATAAATTTCACGATTTTCATGCACAGCTAAACCGATGAGATATCAAAAAATTCATGCATCCATAACAAGTGAATATGTTTCTTTATAGTCGACACCGGGTCGTTGAGAGAATCCTTGTGCAACAAGGCGTGCCTTGTATCTTACAATCTCATTTCTTTTTCGTACAAAGATCCATTTATAGCCAATTGATTTAACATCACTAGGCGTTTGGACTACAGGTCCAAAAACCTCACGCTTAGCAAGTGAATTTAATTCTGATTGAATTGCTTCTTGCCATTTTAGCCAATCACATCTTTGTCGACATTCTTCGACAGATAGAGGTTCAAGATCCTCATTTCCATTCATAATGTTAAGTGCAACATCATATGCGAAAACATTATCCACTATGATTTTTGATCGATCTAAACTTATCTCATCACCTGTAGAACTTATTGAGAGTTTTTCATTTACTTGAGTCTTGGGTTCACTGATCTCTTCAGGAATATCAGGATTAATTAGATCTTGAATTTCTTCATGATATTCTTTTGTAGTGTCATTTTTTGTACTTCTTTTTCTAGGATTGTTATTTTTTGAACCCAATGGTCTACCACGCTTCAGGCGTATTTGTGATTCAGAAGCTACGACACTTGTAGATGGTCCTTTTAGGACGTCGATTCAGATAGACACATTAACTGCAGGAATATGCGACTTTGTTATCCTTTTTGAATCAGTAAATGTGTTTGGCATTTCATTTGCTATGTTTTGCAAATGGATTATCTTCTGGACCTCTTGTTTACACACAGGGGAGCGTGGATAAAAATGAGATAATGATGAAACTTTCCATGCAATTTCACTTTTAAGTTTCTTTTTCTCTCCCCCTAATTGCGAAAAATTTGTTTCATCAAATCGACAATCTGCAAATCTTGCAGTGAATAAATCTCCCGTCAATGGCTCAAGGTAGCGAATTATGGAGGGTGAATCAAACCCAACATATATGCCTAACATTCTTTGAGGGCCCATCTTGGTGCGCTGAGGTGGTGCTACAGGCACATATACAGCACATCCAAAAATTTGAAGATGAGAAATATTTGGTTCATGGACAAATACTAATTGTGATGGGGAATATTTTTTATAATGAGTCGATCTGAGACGAACAAGTGATGTTGCATGTAAGATAGCATGACCCCAAACAGTAGTAGGTAACTCACTTTTTATAAGTAGAGGTCTTGCTATCAATTGTAAGCGCTTAATAAATGACTCAACAAGGCCATTTTGAGTATGAACATGAGCTACAGGACGTTCAAATTTTATCCCTACCGATACGCAATAAGCATCAAAAGCTTGGGATGTGAATTCACCAGCATTATCAAGGCGAATTATCTTAATGTGATAATATGGAAATTGCGCTCTTAATCGTATCATTTGTGCCAATAATTTTGCAAACGCCAGGTTGCGAGATGATAAGAGGCACACATGAGACCATCTTGAAGATGCGTCTATTAGGACCATAAAATATCTAAACGACCCACTAGATGAGTGAATAGGTCCACAAATATCCCCATGTATTCGTTCTAAAAATTGAGGTGATTCAATGTTAACCTTCATTGGTGATGGCCTAGTAATCAATTTGCCTTGACAACAAGCAGCACACGAAAACTCATCATTTGTAAGAATCTTTAGGTTCTTTAATGGATGTCCATTTGAGTTTTCAATGATTCGTCTCATCATTATTGATCCAGGATGACCTATTCGGTCATGCCAAAGCACAAAAGTCTTTACGTCAGTAAACTTCTGGTTTACGATGG